TCCTAACTAGCATAATAATATGATTCATATGAATATATATATATATATATATATATATATATATATATATATATATATATATATATATATATCAAGTTAGAATTACATACCTCTTTGATGTAGAAAGTCTTCATGAAGCTTGAGTGCCTAGTGCCCCAAGTGTGACACCTCAAATGGTTCACACAACACCAAATACACTTGGAATAACTTGAGAGAAACTTGAACACTCCTTGAAATCGTCTAGCCCTCACACTCACACATAGTGCATGATTTCTTGAGCCATGGGATTCTTTTATATGGTGGCTATTAGGGTTACACCATGTAACTCATAACTTTACTCATTCCTTATGCTCCATGGATTTTAACCTCCATGGAGTATCCATGGGTCACCCCATGGACTTAGTCCAACATAAGGAATCTTGGATCACAAGCACACATATATAAGAATGAATGATTTACACAATCAACCCATATATTTAATTAGTCTTCTTTTGATCACTTAATTAATTCCAAATTAATTCTTGATCAATACTAATTAAATAACCTTATTAATATATTAGAACTTATAATATATTAACAAACTTTAAGTGTTATTTCTCTCATTTTAGTCTATCCAAATGCATGATGCCATGCAACCCAAATGGACCATGCCGAGTCAGGTCAAGTCTTACCAATTATAGTTATGGACTTAGACATTAATCCAACAGAAACAACCATGAAAGATAGCAAAAATACCGAATCTGCAGTAGGAACATTCACAAGCATAACTTTTATGCTCACAAAGTATGTCAATCGGTTGAATTAGTGTCAGAACTTAATGAAGTACTTGAAAAAACAATCTAAACCTCAAGATCAAGCAAAAACGTGGATTTGTTTTTATTATTTGATCAAACTTTTAATTGAAATTGGTATACCATGCAATTACTATTGTGTTGAAATTGGCAGATCAGATGCTCTCTCTCTCTCTCTCTCTCTCTCTCTCTCCCTCTCCTGTTGGGAAACTTTTATTTTTATATTTTATGGGTTTATGATTTTAAGAGTAATCAAAACATCTGATCTTTAATATCAAGTATGGTATAGTAGGACACATTAAATCAATAGTAAAAAGTTTGGTTAGTGTTGTTGTTCTAATATTTATATTTTAAAAGTGAAAATTACTTAAAATACATGTTATTAAATTTATACAATTGATAGCCAATTAGATACCCATTCCACAATAATGATCAACTTGGTCAACACTTCGGTCACAAATGGAGTAATGCTTCAAGTCGTATGAATTATGGCATCCTACTTGTGTGAAGTCCACATTCTTACACTCAAGGTTTTTTTTAACAACATATGTTCTTATTTTCACTTTTTATATCAATGTATTCACTTTTTCTATTATTTTTTAATATTATGGTTAACCAGTATGAAGTATTAACTATTAACTACTAACCATAACCAATAATAACCATACCAAATGGCTACTGAAATGCATTAACCGATAGTAATGGTTATAGCTTGGTTTTGCTCAATAACAAACAAAATCGTCTCATACACACCTCCTAATCCACTTCACAAGTCGGTTCCACCCGCCTGTTTCAAACATGCGAAATGGAGGATGTCATTACGAAATGCTCAAAAACAATGTTCTTTTTAGCATTTTGCAATCGTTCCCAATTTTATATTTTTCCATATTTTTTTGAAAGAAAAAGAAAGCCCAAAATAAGTATCAAATCTGTACTCACAGTTCAGTTTTAAATTGTTTGTTGATGGCTTCAAATACAAACTTCGGTGCATAATTTTTCTTGACATGTGCACACGTGCAAAGGTTCTTGGCCACATTACAGGAATATCCAAACCCACAAGCGAAGATGATGAAGATTGGGCTACCATTGACTCCCGAATCAAGTCTTGGTTCTACTCTACATGTGATGCTAACCTTTTAGAAATCATATCAAGTGATTAGTGCACTGCTAAAGATTTGTGGGACAAACTAGCTGAATTCTTTCTCAATACCAAGATGCCAAGAATGCTTCAGCTTCATGAACAATTTCGCAATACGAATAAGGGCTCTTCCTTTATCACCGAGTTCTGCCACTCTCTCAAAACTTAGTTGATGCTTTGGCTGACTGTGACACCAAAATTGATGAACTAGAATTAATGATGCAAATTCTAAGGCAACTTCCTCCCTCAGGGCCGGTCCTGACGGTGGGCAACCCGGGCGATCGCCCAGGGCCCACAACTCTTAGGGGCCCAAAATTTCTGATATATATATATATATATATATATATATATATATATATATAATAAATTGATGTATATGTCTTCTAAGGGCCTGATTACCAAATTAACCGAACTTTAGGCCAATGAAATAACCTCTTTTATCCAGACTCTGGAACTCGTTTTGAAGTAACGTTAAGCAAATACTGTCGTTTAAGGTGTCTTTCAGGAATCTACATCTGGTGGGAACCAATTAATCAAATCGACACGTCGTGAATCCTACTCGTTGCCTCGTGAATCCTAATCAAAATAATGATTCATAATCAATTATGTCGCACGATTTCTTCCCTTCTCATAGCCTCTTACCAGCCTTCAGATTAAAATCAGTTATGTCGAGCGAATGCAAATTTGCAAAGCACCCGACGAATGAGATAAAAAACATAAGGTTGGCCATAGATTTTTTTTGTTTGTTTTTCCTTTGATTCTTTTGTTTTTCAACTAGTATAAGTTTCTGATTTGATTTATTATTCATGTTTCTTATATATTATTATTATTTATTTAATTTTTTATTTTGTTTGTGTATTTGTGTCTCAGATTGCTAGAAACTGGACTGTCAATTATTTCTAGCTTTTACCTAGGTTTCATTTTGTTTACTTAACAATGTAACTTTTTTGTAGATATCTGATTCAAAACCCAAAAATTTTAATCCAATTTTATTCTTTTTGATGTTTTAGTGTTGTTTCTGATTTTATTTTGTATTCACGTTCCTAGTCGTGGTATCTAATCAAATGCTGAAAGGTTATATATTTTTTTCCTGATTTTGGATGTTCTCAGATTTCTCGAGACTTGACTTTATATATTCTACCTACATTTTAGATTTTTTACTTAAGAACGTAATATTTTTTGTTGATATATGATTCAGAATTCAAAACTTTAAATCCAATTCTAATTTTCAGATGTTTGATTGTTTGTTTCTGATTTTAATTTGCAGTTGCACCTTAATTTAAATTGAATATGATATTAGGCTTCAATAACTTTGAGACATAAATCATATACCAAAAATCAGATCTAATATTTTCCTATAAATAGATAGTGTTTAAGTATTTACAATCTACAATGTTTTCCAAAAAACATTTATCTGGAAGCCAGAAAAGGAAGAAACGAAATTTTTTTGATGCTTTCGATCAAACTTATAAAGGATCTATGCATAATTTTTTCAAACCATTGAGTTTGTCTAGTTTGAATGAAGGAAAACTAATTTGAATTAAAATGATACTAATTTCTCTTTTAGGTAATATTGTGGTCATATTTATGTTGTCAGCTTTGTAACGATGTGTTTATTTTTAAATTAAATTAAATTATTATTCTAGGGGCCCATTTTTTTCTTTTCGTCCTGGGCCCGCAAGACGTTTGGACCGGCCCTATCCTCCCTCATACCACAATATCATTGATGTAATCACTAATACAAAGCCTTTCGCTTCATTCCTTGAAGCTAAAACATGCTCCTCATGTATGAATCACACAAAGAGTCAATCAATCTCCTCGGTGATGCACCACTCACCTCCTTGACTGCTTTGTATACATTCGTTTCGTCTCATGGGAAATCTAAAAATAAATATAATCGAGGCAAAAGTAGTGGGTGGGTTGCTTCCGAAGGAGGAGGGGGGGGGGGGGGTAATACTAATGTTTCTACACAAGGCACTTAAGGATTCTACCAAGCTCATTTTAGCAATCCAACCAACCGGCAATCTGGTCTCCTCGGTCCACCTCTGCAGCAACATGTCTTCGGATTGCAGCCCTTTGCTGTTGGCGCATCTCAACAGCAACCGACAACATCAACTCACCCTAAATTGCAGCCAACAAATTGTTTTTTTTTGCTGTTTTTCCGGGATTTTTACAGCAACCACTACTGCCTACTTATGCACCACATCGACAGCTTTTCCCTGCTCAAGTTAAACCATATTATTACTTAGCCGATTTTTGATCTGACTCTCTACCGAAGCCTTGCAGGAGCCTTTCAATATCTGACTTTCGCTCGTCCTGATATTGCTTATGCTGTACAACAAATTTGTATGTACATGCATGATCCGCGTACCCCTCATTTTTTGGCTCTTAAGCGCATCTTAAGGTATCTTCGTGGTACCCTCTCTCACGGTCTTCACATTTGTCCTTCAACCGTTGATCGCTTGGCCTCTTATTCTGATGTTGATTGGGCCGGTTGTCCTACCACTCATCGGTCCACATCTGGTTATGTGTTTATCTTGGAGACAATCTCGTTTCCCGGTCCTTGAAACGACAACACATCGTCTCTTGTTCTAGTGTCGAAGCCGAGTACCGGGGGTAGCTAATGTAGTTGCTGAAACTGCTTGGCTCTGTAATCTCATTCTTGAACTTTATTGTCCCTTGTCTCGTGCTACGATTGTCTTTTGTGACAATGTCATTGCTATGTACCTTGCCTCTAACCCAATTCAGCACCAAAAAACCAAGCATATGGAAATTGATTTACATTTTATTAGGGAACATATTGTGATTGGTCATGTGCATGTTTTGCATACCCTACCAACGTATAAGTATGTAGATAGTTTAAACATTCGAGAATCCCATGTTCAAACTAAGGGGGTGTGTTAAATATATATTCTAGTTAGGGTTGATTATTTATTATTGTGTGGTATAGGGACCCCATTGTAAGTGAACTATATATATATATATATATATATATATATATATATATATATATATATATATATATATATATATATATATATATATATACACTCATCCCTAGGTAAGAGGGATTTCGACAATTCTTATTATATATAATTCTTTATAACTATTTTCCAAATATTTTGTAAAAAAAAAATATTAACCATTGTTCCATATATATTATCAATCCAATTTTACACATTGCCCAATTTAATTTATATCCCACAAGTGCTTGGTAGCTGCATTTAGTCTTTAAGTCTTTTGGCTAAACCCCGTGTCATTGAAAATGTGGATCCACACCTACACCTAACAGAATCAACATCATATTTGCATCAGAAAGTGTAAATAAACATCATTCCATTCTATCTATTCATTCATATTTCATATATACCTAGCTTACCAGGCATATTAGCATTTTGTAATGATCTACTTTCCATACTCAACATCTTCAAGGATATCATTCGCAAATAATCAGACTGCAAACCAAATAATTTTTTAAAAAAATGACAAAACATGATATGTCAAAAGACACAACAAAGTACAAACCTGACTTGTTGCAGCAGTATAAATCTTTTCTTCAAACCTCACAGCTATTTTCACAAGTTCATTTAGCCCCTCATGTCCAGAGAATGGAAGATGCCTCTTCAAGGTATCCAATCTACAACAAAACCAAAAGCATAATTCAAATTTTTTAAACCAAATCAAATTAAAAAATTCAGAAAATATAAATACAAACATTTTGTTCACGATCCTTTGTCGTGAATCGGGTTGCAGCTGAGCCCTCCATTCACCAGATTCCATAATATTAAAAGATGATTCACCCATGGCTGTAACAATGTTATCTCTTGTATTTATATTTTAGTTTTTCACTTGTAACAATGTTATTTCTTTGTAAAAAAATAATAATAAAAACCTCGCTTTCCATTTGAAACGATGTTATCGTGCATTGTCTGTGAGAACAAAAGTTGTTGTCCTTGTTGAGGATGATTAGAGGGAACATGAATAGGAAGTGGAAACCCTTGGATGTTCACTTGCTGCATTACTTGAGAACCTGTTCATTGAGAACAAAAAATTTATATATGTGGAAAATTCCTTACAAAAATCATAATTATAAAACTAATGTTATAAAGATTAAATGACAATCTATCTGGAAATACCTGAGGGGTTTACACTATTAGCAACAGAGTTTGAGTATTGTGATCGAGCCTCCATGGTCAACATCTTCAAGGATATCTTTCGCAAATAATCAGACTGCAAACCAAATTAATCAATTAATTAAAAAAAAAAAATTAAAAAGTAGGTCCCACAAAGTACCTTACCATAAATGACATGGAATAGAACACACAAACAAAGTACAAACCTGGCTTGTAGTTGTTGCAGAAGTATAAATATCGCCTTCCAACCTGTCAGCCATTTCCTTAAGTTCATGTAGCCCCTCATGTGAAGAGAAGGGAAAATGCCTCTTCAAGGTATCCAGTCTACAACAAAAGCAAAATGATAATTTAAATATTTTAAACCACATTAAATTAAAGAATTAAGAAAATATAAATAGTTAAATACATACATTTTGTTCACAATCCTTTGTCGTGAATATGGTTGCAGTTGAGCCCTCCAATCAGTAGGTTCCATGCTCTGCATCTTCAATGATATCTTCTGCAGATAATCAACCTGCAAATCAAATATAAATGTAAAGTTTTATTCCCCAAAGTACATCACCACATATCAAACTACTTCATTCATTTTTCTATTTAATAACTACTTCCATTCCATCTCTACACAAAAATGCCAAAAACTACAAACCGGGCTTGTTGCATCATTATAAATCTTCTCTTCAAATCTCACTGCTATTTTATTAAGTTCGTCTAATCCCTCTTGTCCAGAGTATGGAAGATGCGTCTTCAAGGTAACCACTCTACATAAAAGTAACATGAACAACAAGGTTAGCATATAATCAAATGCTTAAAATACATAAATTTAAGAAATTTAAGAGAAGGATGTGATCTGTGAATGGTAAATAGTTGGATACATACATCCTGTTCACCATCCTTCGCCTTGAAGCTGCTTGCAGCTGAAACCTCCAATTGCTTGTATCCATCACCTAAGCTAGAACTATATTTGTAACAATAAGAAATTAATATTTGTAGAAAAAGATTTAAGTCTCCATTCCTATCTGGAGCTACAATTTAGTATCAACTCAAAATCATTGGGGCAAAAAAGTGATCAAATGTAGCGATCTCTAAAATTTGAGTTCCAATTAGCAAATATAAGTTGTGCTTACGATACACTAGATATCAAAATTGACAATTGAGCATATAATTAGAGGTGTGTTTTAATTCTAGCGATCACCAATTAGCAACTGTTTGGGTAAAAAGAGGCTCGGCAATTAGATAGCGTACATACCTGATACCAGAAAAATGCCTAATTCTTCTTGGAGATAAAGCAATTGGACTCTATCTGAAAATCAAAATTCAACTACTCAAAAGTAAACGATCGAGTGTAATCAGAGATTGAATCGATTTGCGTGTAACAGATGGTGTTGCTGTGAGATGGTCGCTGGTGACAAAGACGTGAAAGACGATCCCTACTTCGACGGAAGACGAGACAGTAGAGACAAAAAAGGAAGGCTAGCAAGAAACTTATGAAGAAATTTCGTAGGAGTTACAGATATATTGACTCACAAAGCACAACACCATCGTTTTTGTATTATTTCATGTAAACACGGAATCTCAATAGTCAATTCACTTTTTAAAAAAAAAAAAAAAAAGAGTTTGAGAAAACTCCAACAATGGTCCCTCTAGTTTTATTTTGTACAAAGGTATAAAAAAAAATTCAATTTGAAAAAACAAGTATTTATTTGAAGGTTTTATTATGGATTTGATCCATAAAATTAACATTAGTGTACTTTTACTCTTACTCTTATATATGCTAAGATGATTGCCTTGACCTTACATTTATATTTTCAAGTTATTTTTATTAATATGTACTTATATTATCTCCTGGGCCACATTTACATCCCACCATTTCAAGATCACCCCTACAAAACATTCATTTCGTAACGTAGATTCTAGCAAGCCCCATAGTCTTCTCCGATGATCACCATTTTCTCGTGTAAGACGAGAACCAAAAGTTAAAAACCCTAAGCAAAACAAGAAAGCCAAAAACTATTTTAGTAACAAGAAATCAAGAATCATGGTATAATTTATACAACCATGATCAATGAATAAAGATTTATGGAAAGTATTTAAAAAGTTAACATGTTCAAATTATCCAAAAAAACATCATTAATCCACTGGTATGTTGAGTCATCAAACCCCAGCCTACCATCCTGTTTGGACGGTGGATATATTTTAGGTTTTAATGGCTTCAATTCCTTTCCAGGCGGTTGCATACAATCGAAATCCAGAAGTGTCGGAGGCGGTGACCAAGTAGAGTTAGAATTTTTTTTTTTTATCTGTTGAACAAGTAAGCAAACCCAGACAATTAGAAACACACCAACGATGTAGAGAATGAAGTCCGAGCTTGGTTTCTATGTCGAACTTTCTATCATCAAGTCTATTAAGCATTCCATCCACTTGTCGGTGTCTAGCTCCCCCATCAAACTAGACGCTGCCAAAAAAATCAATGAGCCTTAACCCTGATTACTACTAGTGATAACGGATTAGGTTCAGGAGCTAAAATCCAGTTGTCTCTTTGGTTCCAACAATATCTGTCGCACTTCAGTCAAACAAACATGAAAACTTTTATGTTAGGCTAAACGATATCATACTGTTTTCACCGATGGACAACTTGACCTTTTGCAAATTCTGCAACTTCTAAAAATGGGTAGGGTGTGGCCTTTTTGTTTAACGCTAGCAAAACCCACACAAAACACACAAAAAATTGATTTTTGCCAAAGGTAAACTTCCATCACCAGCACATTACCATCGGTAAAACAAAAGGAATGGGGTGGTGTTCACCAACGGTAAATGGCGCCACATAAGCATACAGTCGGTAAAAAATGTATAACACCGTTCAGCGTTATAACAAGAGATCGATGGTTGATGGCGGTCCAAAATTGTTTTACATTCACAATGATCATGTGTTGGAATGTCACAACTAGAAATTTTTGTGGCTTGTAGATTACAACAATTAAGCCAAATTATGAATCAAAGACACAAGAGCATGTATGATGCATACTCTATGACAATAAAATTTCAAATAAACACCCCATGCAAGCATTTCAAGTAGTCAATAAGCAATTGGAAACCCTAGAAGTCTGTGTTTAAGTCCATTTTGGACCAGGACTTCCTTATTGGGCCCAATGGACCAATAAGCTTCCAATTTGACCATCTTGGGCTTAGAACTCTTAAATGGGGTTTAATTGGACCCACTTCCAATTATTTCAATATTTTGGGCCACATTGGGCCTAGAATGAAATAAATTAATTATATGAACCATTTTGGGCCATAATTAACCTAATTTAGCCCTAATAGGTCATAAAAATTATACTTTGATTTAATTGAGTCAAACATCATCTAACTTAACTATAATATGGGCTTAGGGGCAAAAAGCCCAAAAATCTCCTCTTTCCCCTCTCCATTCTCGGCCCAAGCCCACAAAGAGGAAGAGTTGACTTTGTTGGGTGCCACCTCACTTTTACATCAAGGATCTCCATGCAACACTCATACATCCATGCAACCATCTTATCAATTCTCTCTCTTCTCCCTTCTCTTTCTTCTCTCGGCCGAATCCAAGCATACACACACACATACATTTCACTCTTCATTCTCTCAAGAAAACTCTCTCATATCTCCTCCATATTTTCGAGATCTAAGAAGTATTCAAGGGGATTCTCACACAAAAATCATCATCTAAGGTAAGTTGATGTTAGATCCATAAGCTAGTTATTTCATTCCATTCAAGAATCACCTCTTAATCCATTCAAACTTATGATTTAGCACCTTAGAAGCATCTAAGTTCGAGATCTTCCAAGGAGGGTTGCTAAGGCCGAATTTTCTTCTCATTTTTCTTCCAAAACCGAAACCACACCCAAGGTGAGCTTCATACCCCTTATTTTTTGGTTTTTATAAGTTTTTGTGGGGGAGAATACAAGCAAATGTGTAGATCTATGAGTAAATGTATGCCTTGTGTGATTTTTATGCTTATATGTATGATCTTATGTGATTTGTGATGTTTATGTTAGCCAAAAGAACCTAAAAACTGAGAACTACAATATGAGGAATGAAATAAGTATAACTTATACCATTTCACACTAATCAAGTCTAGAAAAATAGTTTAGTTGGTTAAAATGAGCATTTTTGGACTTAAAACCCATTTTGGACTCAAAATGTCAAAAATACAAAACTAAGGGGCCCAAAACGACAAAAGATAATTTTTGAAGGTTGAAATGAGTCTAAACAGTTTCTAGTATATATTTTCTGAATATCAACACTTTTGAAGACTTAAAAATGTGAATTTTGAACATAATGCGCTAAAATGGGCTTTTCGGCCCAATAAAGCCCCAATTTGCGAGATTTTTGAAATTAAGGTGCTGAAAATGCACATTTCTATAAAACAGGGTATTACAAGTATACTAATACCATTTCAAGGGCCAAAAATGCTTTTTAAATTAAAAAGGGACCAAAAATGCAAAAAATTTCCATTTTGGGCCAAAATTGTAAAAGTTGCGAAGATGGGGGTTTCAATCAAGAAAATTTCATTTTTGAAGGACTTAAGCTGTTTATCAAGTAAATTTAGGCTGAAAATGTCTTTTTAATAAGTTTTGATACTAAAGTGTCAAGAAAAATGGTTTAAGGACTAAAATGGAAATTCTCTTATATAAAGGGTTAAAAGTGTAAATTTTATCCAAGAAGGGTCATAAAAAGGTAAACTCCTATCTTTTTTTTTTAAAACAAATCCCTTAAGATAAATACGAGTACCTCGACTACCAGCGAAACGTAATAACAAATACGCTTTCAACACTAATGTCGTTATCAAATGAATTGATTCGGTCTCGAATCAATAACGAATCAAAAATCAATAAACAATAAGTACTTCAATAAACACGTGAAATTCACGAGAAGTCAATATTCAATCTTTGGGCTTGAAAGTTTCAAATCGTGCTTGTTGGGCCTAGCTAGCCCAATAACATGATCTTTGGGCCCGAAGGGAACGCGCTTACACGTTATTGGGCCTTCAATGACCTAATTCCATGTAAAAGGACTTTCAATAGCTTTATTGTGTTGTTGGGCCCCAAGGGCCCATAGGTACTGCTAGCAAAGTCGAGAAGTCAAATGCGAGTCGGGCCTAGTGCCTTTCGCATTCACGATAGCCTTGAACGACTTATGGAAATAACGAGGGCTTCGTACCCTCTTTTCTCCTCGGTTGTGGGGCTATGAGAAGTCAGGGTGGTTGGATTAAGTGAGTCTTACAGACGACACCAAAAGGATCATTTGTAATTGGTAGTTATAAGCTAGTCATTTTCGTTAATGCGTGATTATAACGACTCACAACCCATAATTAATCCAATGTCACCTGGAATTATCGAAAACAATTGTCGAATCGGTATAACAATAAACAAAACATGAAATCCTATGTACGAGGAAAACATCGGGTTTTCCCAGGAAGTTCAACACTTTTATCTATGTGATGTATACAAGGTTTAACATTTATACACGTTTACAAAAATCAACAAGCATACTACGGATCTCCACACTTTTAAAAAATAATACTCTTTTCAGAAAATATCGGATTTTCGGGGTTTTTCAAACTACACAAAAATCATTATTTTTCAAATATAACTTATGAACTCACCAATATTTCATATGTTGACGTTTTCCAAAATACTTGTATTCTCAGGTAACAGGTAAATTGAAGAATATGTATCCAGTGATGTCACGGTGTTTTGTTTAATTTAGTATCGAACGGTTTAAGTTATGAAAATGTAATGTTTAAAACAATGTACTGAATGTAAACAATAACAGTTGTACTATTTCAATGCTTGGTGATGAATGATGTTATGATTCATGTATAATCATTATGATAGTATTCAATTGAGTTACAATAGCCCTCGGACATTTCCACCGTCTGGTTCGGGGGTGTGACATGGAATCTCTAATGAAAAGGAACCGGGAAATGTAATGTATCAGTTTGGGGTTAAAATAATAATGTATAATAAAAGTAAAAAATAATGTTAATTATTAATTTCCCTGAATCCTGATATATTATGGTTAGTAGTGTTTAGTTTAGGACCAAAAGTACAATTAAACTTTGCTACAAAAACTACTTTTATAAGTCTTTAGCCACAAAAAATACAAACCACATGACAATGTTTGTAGTTTCCTCAAAAAAATTATTTGATGAGTGAATTTTTACAAATTATAAAATAAATTTGAAACCTATTGTTTTTTTTAAATGGGTTATCTTTGATGGAATTATCTTATAGATTTTTTGTTATAATACTTATAAAATTATATAAAATCAATCAACTTTCACGAAATAATCTTAATATATAATTAATTTGAAAATATTTAAATAGCTTTTGTGACTTAAGCTATCAAAGAGTATATAAAATTTTAAATAAATTTGAAACATACA